GGCCAAAAGGAGTTTTCTGCTTGGGATGAGGGAATTCAGTCAGCAATGTGGGCACAGGCAGGGCATCTCAGGTTGTTTTGGGGGCCTCTGCTGAGTGTGGTGCCCAGGTGTTTCAAATCCAGAAGTATTCCTAAAAGGAAGAGTGTTTCCTCTCTCTGGGTGGAGCAACAAGCCACAAAAACCCAATGTACAGATTCAATCTGCACCACAGGGGTTTCCAGGAGATGGGCCCAAACCCACTGCCTTGCACCCACTCTAGGGCTCTGCTAACTGGTAGGGCACTTCTCCACCCTTTCTCCCATTCTGCTCCAGACTCCATAGCAGCCCAAGACAAGGGGAGGGTAGTGTCCTGATCCATTTACCTATAAGATCTTTGCTCCCCTGCAAAGTCCCAGCTTACCTTGTAAAACTCCCAGTGAGACTATTTTGAGTCCCCAGTACCTGTGGGTTCGATGGTGTTTTCTTTTATTTTTTTTACCTTTTCCTTCCTCCTTGTCCTCTACCCTGCCTCCTGCTCTAGGTCTTTTTTCCCCATCTCTGCCAGCTGGGTGGGCCTGCCTTTTTTTCCCTGTCATTTAGCCTGCTCTCTTTCTTTGCCTTCACTGGATCTGATACTATATTTTCTCCTTAGCTATTCATAACTTTAGTATCTTTATTTGTACGTGCTTTACCTAGTTGTTCTGGGTTTCAGATGGACGAGGGAGTGATTGTGGATATTAGCTGCAGGATGCCATCTTCCGATCAGCACTCCCATATCTGTAAATCTTTATGGAAGCACATGGCCCCATCTTTCTTCCACAGAGCAGCTGGTGGGTTTGAACCTTTTGGTTAGCTGACAAATGCTTTAAACACTACACCACCAGAACTCCTAATTATCTGTTGGTATGAAACAAATTGCCCACAAACTTAGAGGCTTAAAACAATAATCATTCATTATCTCTTGTGGGTCTTCTAGATCAGGATTTCAAGAGCATCTTGATTGGGTGGTTCTCACTTTGAGTCTCTTTTGAGGTAGCTGGTTCTGCAGTCATCTGAAGGCTTGTTTGGGGCTGAATGGCCCATTCTCAAGATGGTACTCTCATATATCTGACAAGTTGATGCTGGCAAACTCCTTCCTTTCCACAGTAAGCTTCTCCATTGACTTGCTTGAGAATCCTCACAACATGGGGGTTGACCTCCTCAGGAGGGAGCAATTGCAAAATACTAAGAACTCTGGTAGCATAGTGCCTAAGGCACTTGATTGCTAACCAGAGGGCTGGCGGTTCAAACCCACCAGACACTCCTTGGAAGGAAGGTGGGGAAGTCTACTTTCGTAGTGATACTGCCTCAGAAACCCAAGGAGGAGTTGCTATGAGTTGGGTCTGACTCGACGGGACATAACAACAACAACAACAAAGTGAAGTGAAGGCAAACAATGATATACAGGCAGATAGATGGGTGGATAGGCCATGTAGGGGGGAGTGTGCCCAAGACCATGTATAGGGTTGGCAGACAATGTTTCTATAAGTGTATTTGTATATTCTGTAAGAATTCCCTGGTATATAGTAGAGCTGACAAGGGACAAGGTTGTAGTCACTTCTTGGCCACAGCTGGCTACCCAGAGGGAGTGAGTAGTTGCACCTGTGGGCTCAGGACCATAGTCACAGGGGGCATCAAGCTCAATTGGCATAACATACTACACAAAAATATTGTTTCATATCCATGGGAGGTACAGACAACAAATATGAACCCTTTTGCACATATAGTACTGTGTTGTCAGTGAAGGCAAACATGGGTATATGGATGGATAGATGGGTGGACAGGCTGAAAGATTAGATATGTCTATGAAATGGGGAGGGTATCCAAGAACATATATAGGGTTGGCAGACAATGGTCCTATAAGTTTATGTGAATGATCAGAATTCCCAGGTGTATAGCAGAGCTGACAAGGGGCAAGGTTGTGGTCGCTGCTTGATCACAGCCAGCTACCCAGAGAGACCAAGTAGTTGAACCTGTGGGCTTGGGACCATAGTTGCAGGGGACATCAATTGGCATAACATACTATACAAAACATTGTTCCACCTCCTACTTTGGCGAGTAGTGACTGGGATCTTAAAAGCTAGCAAGCTGCCATCTAGATGCAACGATGGGTTTCTCCTTGTCCAGAGCAAAGAAGAATGAAGAAAACCAAAATTCATGGAAACAATTAGTCCTAGTGACTGGTACACCATTCGATCTGCAGTGTATACAATTATGAGACCAGAAGAAGTAGGCCTGGCTACCACTGTCATCCACTTGGAAGGAAACCCTTGATAGAGAGGGAGAACAATGTGGAACAAAACTCACAATCATTTGGAGAAAAAAAAAAGTGGGAACCAGGTTTGCTGGTCTGGTAGAGCCTGGTGGAACCACTGAGACTATGGCCCCTAGCTGCCCTTCAGGTCTGGAATTGAAGCCACACCTGTGGTTTCCAGCCAAACAGAATGCAGGCATATGAGTTGAACATTTACCTCAGGTAGATACACTCCTTGGAGAGAACAGTCATAGGAGAAAGAAGGGCTGCTTATGCACAGGGAGACAGCTCAGGGGTCAGGAGTGTATGGAGGGATGGACACTGGGAAGAGGTAACTATGGGGAGGAAGTGGGAGGGGAGCTGTTGCATTGTGTTAAACTGTGGTCAATGACATGAGATAAAGTATATGTGAACTGCTGTATGGAAAGTGATTTTGCTCGGTAAATCTTCACCCAAATCACAATAAAAATAAATTATATATATATACTGTTCCACATCCTACTTTGGTGAGTAGTGACTGGGATCTTAAAAGCTTGCAAGCAGCCCTCTAGATGCAACAATGGGTCTCTCCTTGTCCAGAGCAAAGAAGAGTGAAGAAAACCAAAGACCCATGGAAACAATTAGTCCAAGTGACTGGTACACCATGCGATCCTCAGCCTATACAACTATGAAACCAGAAGAACTAGATGGTGCCTGGTTACTACAGTCAACCACTCAGAAGGGGAATCTCTGTAGGAGATCCTGGATAGAGTGGGAAAACAATATGAAACAAAACTCAAAATCATAAAAAAAGGACCAAGTTTGGTGGTCTGATAGAGCCTGGTAAAACCACTGAGACTATGGTCTCTAGTTGCCCTTTAGGTCTGGAACTGAACCCACTGCTGTGGCTTCCAGCCAAACAAAAGACAAACATATGAGCTGAACATTTACACTAGGTAGATACACTCCTTAGAGACATCAATCATGGGAGACGGGAAGGGCTGTGTATGCACAGGGAGACAGCTTGGGGTGCAGGAGTGCATGGAGGGAAGGACACAGGGAAGAGTTAACTATGGGGAGGAAGTGGGTAGGGAGCTGTTGCATTGTGGTAAATTGTAGTCAATGTCATGAGACAAAGTGTATGTGAACTCCTGTATGGAAAGTGAATTTGCTCTGTAAACTTTTACCCAAATCACAATAAAAATTAAAAAAAAATAAGTACTAAAGTGAAAACTGCAGATCTTTTATGACCTAGCCACAGAAGTCATACCCACCACTTCTTCTATATGATATTGGCCACATAGGCTAGCCCTGGTTCAGTTTGGAAAGGGACTATTCAAATGCATGACTATCAGGATCCACCTTTGAAGTTTGCTGCCATAATACCACCATCACACCTAAAACTAAAACTTCACAATAATTTTCTAATATTTTTAATATTGTTGGTTTCCAAATTTTCCCAATTATTTCTTGAATCAGGATCCAAATAAGTTCCACATATTGCAGTTTTCAATATCTTTCTTAAGTTCCCAAATCTATAGGTTCCTCTTTCTTTTCTTCTTCTTCTTTTTTTTTTTTCTTTCTTGCAATTTATTTCTTTGACTCTTTGAGTTTTTGGTGAGGATTAAATGAGGTAACATTGGTAAAAAACCTACCACAAGGTAGGCTTGCCCTTAGGCCTACTGCTCGCTTATATGCTGACTTTGTGTGACTTAGAGGAAGGCATTCCTCTCTCAAGTGAGGCCATTATTGCACCACCTGGACAATCATCCAGTCCTGGCTCCTGGTGGAAAGTACTAGCTCTGAGGTGTGAGAGTTAGTTCCATTATTCAAACTTTGAAAATCAGTAGTCAGAGCATGTGGGTTCCATTAAGTATCAGGAGAAGCTGTTGCTGCTGCTTGGACCCGTCTCCCTGATTCGGCCTAGCTCTGACCAGGAAAGCTTTCAAGAGGTCTAGAGACCATAGACTTAGCTGCTGACACCCATACCTGCCCTTTCATGTGCTCCAGATGAAAGATACATATGCTACCAATGGTGTGCACACTCTACTCCTTAACGCCCACTCCCCACATGAGGCTTCACTTAGGCATCAGATTAGTTAGGAACTTCCTTACTGAATTTCCTATCAGGAAAATGGGAATTAGGTCTGCACAATGGTAGATGGAGAAGAGGAGCGGCCACTGTTAATACCTGAGCCACTGGGGGGACAGAGTATAGATACACACACGCAAATGTGCATGTGATGGTGTGCATACATGTACTCTTCTGAGTGTGTAAAAGGCCTTACTGGTGTGGATTTATATAGGAGGAAGACCTTCACTGCTGTTTTGAGCTTGATCAGGAAGTCCAGGAGTTTCTCGGTTTTCCCATGTTTTTATATGTTGTTGTTGTTATGTGCCGTCAAGTCGGATCCGACTCATAGCGACCTCTCCTTGGGTTTTTGAGGCAGTATCACTATGGAAGTAGATTGCTTAATCTACCTTCAGAGGAGTGACTGGTAGGTTTGAACCGCCAGCCTTCTGGTTAGCAGTCAAGAGCCTTAGGCACTATGCTACCAGACTCCCATGATTTTATATAAGTATATTTAAGTCCACAGATGGCAGGAAAGGTACCCTTGTGCAGTATACAACCTGGATAACTATATGTGGGACTCTTGCCTGCATTCACTGGTTGTTCCATCTTTCAGCTGATCTCTCCAAATAGAATAAAACCACCTTAAGCTCAAACATATCTATTTCCCTCAAACAGATTCAGGATTCCTGAGATCTCTGAATACATTGAACATTCCTGCTGAAGGTTTGCTTCTTTCAAGTCATGATGCTCTTCCTTCTACTCTCCTTGGCTCTCTTTTCAGGTAAGAGTTAGGGTAGGATCATATCTAGCCCTCCAGTCTGTGGTCTATTTTGTTGTTATTGTTGTTAATCACCGTCAAGTGGATTCTGACTCATGACAACCCCATGTGTGCAGAGCAGAATTGTGCTTCATAGAATGCTTTTTTTTTTTCTTGTATTTTTTTCCTTTATTATTGTGATTTGGGTGAAAGTTTACAGAGCAAATTCATTTTCCATACAGCAGTTCTTACACACTATGTTTCATGGCATTGGTTACAATCGCCATAATGTAACAGCTCTCTTCCCACTTCCTCCTGTCATTACATTTTGCTTGTGTCCTTCTCTCCCACTCATTCCTGCCCTCTGAGATATCTCCCTGTACAAATACTGTCCTTCTGATTTTCCATAGTTTATTGTTCTAAAGAGTGTACCTACCTGGTGTAAATATTCATCTTACGTGCCTGTCTATTGTTTAGCTGGAAGCCACAGGAATGAGTTCAATTCCAGGCCCAAAGGTGATTAGGAACCGTAGTGTCTATCAGACCAGTAAGCCTGGTATTTTTTATGATTTTGAGTTTTGTTCCACATTTTTCTCCTACTCTACCCAGGATCTCCAATTTTGATCCCTTTCTGAGTGGTTGGGAGAGTTAGATGGGCACCATCTAGTTCTTTTGGTCTCAGGGTCACATAGCCTGAGATAAGATAGAAAAACTTGCAACAAGACTACTACTACTGCAATAACTAGAAAAAAAACTGGACAAATTAAAAAATCATAGCTGTCTCCCTATGCATAAGGAGCCCTTCTTTCTCCCATGATTGTTCTCTCCAAGGAGTATATCTACCTGAGGTAAATGTTCAACTCATATGCCTATCTTTTGTTTGGCTGGAAACCACGGTGTGGGTTCAATTCCAGACCTGAAGGGCAGCTAGGGGCCATAGTCTCAGTGGTTCCACCAGGCTCTATCGGACCAGCAAACCTGGTCCCCCCCCTTCTTTTTTTTTTTCTCCAAGTGATTTTGAGTTTTGTTCCACATTGTTCTCCCTCTCTATCAAGGATCTCCTACATCCCTTCCAAGTAGATGGCAGTGGTAGCCAGGCACCATCTAGTTCTTCTGGTCTCATAGTCATATAGGCTGCAGATCAGATGGTGTAGCAGTCACTAGGAGTAACTGTTTCCATGAATTTTGGTTTTCTTCATTCTTCTTTGCTCTGGATGAGGAGAGACCTATCATTGCATCTAGATGGAAGCTTGCTAGCTTTTAAGATCCCAGTTGCTACTCGCCAAAGTAGGAGGTGGAACAATGTTTTGTGTAGTATGTGATGCCGATTGAGCTTAATGTTCCCTGCAACTATGGTCCCAAGCCCACAGGTTCAACTACTCAGTCCCTCTGGGTAGCTGGCTATGACCAAACAGTGACCACAACCTTGCCCCTTGTCAGTTCTACTATACACCTGGGAATTCTGATCATTCACATAACCTTATAGGACCATTGTCTGCCAACCCTATACATGTTCTTGGATACACTCCCCACTTCATAGACATACCTAGTAGTTCAGCCTGTCCACCCATCTATCCATGTTTGCCCTTACTGACAATGCTGTACTGTATGTGCAAAAGGGTTCATCTTTGTTTTCTGTACCTCCCATGTACCTCTCTATGTCTTTCCCATCCTCAATGCCGCCATAGTGGTCACTCACATTTGGTACATTGCCCTTCTCTTCACCCAAATCAATACTTATCTCTATCTATCTAACAGTATTCCCTCCCCTCCCCTCCCAACCCTGGTAACCAACAAAGAAAATTTTCTTCTATAGATAAACCTTTCCTTAACTTTTACAATAGCGGACTAATACAATATTTGTCCTTTTGTGATTGATTTATTTCACTCAGCCTAATGTCCTCCAAGTTCATCCACATTATGCAGTGTTTAGAAGATTCTACATTATTCTTTTATGATGCATAGTATTTCATTGTGTGTATGTACCATAGTTTGGTTATCCTTGAATGGATATATTCTTGTCTTTCATCATATTGGGGAAATTCTCTTCCAACAAATCTCCAACAATTTTCTCTGTGCTTTTATTTGTCTTTTCCTATTCTGGAATTCCTACTACATGCAGGTTAGTCCTCTTGATGGTATCCCACATGAATCTTAGACTTTCTTCATTTTGTTTTGATCTTTTTTCTGATTGATCCCTTATCAAGGAAGTATTAAGGTATTTGTCTTTGATCTCACTAATTCTGATTTCCATTGATTCAATTGTACTTCTTTGTCCATTCTATGTGTTATCTATTTCTGAAATTTTAGTATTTATCTTCTGGATTTATATCTGTAGATTTTGTATCATTTCTAATTTTTTGTTTATTTTGTCATTTTGTTCTTGTATTGTATTCTAAAATTGTTTCAGGGTTTTGTCTGTTTTCCTTAATTTTGTCAGTGTTTTTCTTGATCTGTCTCTCAATCTATTGAAGGTACCTAAATATAATTCTTTTGAATTTCTTATCAGGGAGTGTCAATGCTGTTTCTTCTTTAAGAATGTTTTCTGGGTCTGTATCCTGGTTCCTGTTTCTACTATTTTATATTGCTTCTTTGTGTGGACTGTGATAGTCTGTTGTGTCCGAGACATTGTGATGTCATTGCATTATATTTAATTGGTGATTGTATGTTATGTGATTCACCCAAGATTTTTTATTTGTTTTGTTTTGATATATCTGAGTAAGCAGGGTACTGTGCTCCTCTATTCACTAGTTGGCAGCACTTATTCACCCACCACTTGTCTCTTGGTGCGTGTGATAGAGAATGAGAGTGAGCGTACTGATCTCTGTTAGCTGTTTGTGAAGAGCAGTTAAGGGTGAGTCAGGCTTTTATCGACTATTGTCTGTCATTGGCCAGTTGGAGCAGGAACAAGTGGTGGCCCTCATTCAGTAGGTGGGACAGTAGGAGGTGCAGGTATGGTTGGGTTGTGTGGGCATGGTTAGTGTCTCCTACTCAGTTAGAAAAAAACAGTAATCTAAAAAACCACCAAAAAAGTGAAAACAACATTACAAAAAAACACAAACTGCATAAACACACAGAAACAATCACTAAAAATTAAAAAACAAAACAAAACAAAACAAAAAAAAACAGTAGGACAGGCAATAAATGAGAATATTTTAAGAAATATTTTAAAAAGACAAAAGAAATCTAAATAGAAAAAGAGAAAAAAACACAGTACCTGAAGATGGAGGAATAAGAGAAAAGAGCTAGAGTAAAAGCATAATAAAGGAAAAAATGAAAAAAAAAAGAAAAAAGAAAAATAAGAGGTTGGAAGAACCAAAAGAGAGAAAAAGATGGGAACCAGGAAAAGGATGAGGAAAAAAAAAAAAAAAACCCTAGAACCCAGAAAGGGAAAAAAGAAAGAATAAATTAAAGAGGAAGAAAAAAAGAATAATTTGAAAACAGAGAAACAAAAACAAAATCTGGTGGGGGTGGGGGGGTGGCAGCAAGGCAGCACCCAGGCTCAGAGCACACAGACTGGGATGGAATTCCTGCCAGTCTAGAAGGTGTCTGGAGGTGGGGGATGGCTACACCTCCATTCACCAAGAGGGTGTGGAGTGTAAGAGTAACAAGGGGAATACTGGACCTTTCCAGTTGTCAGCCCATGCTGTCCTTGGCAAGCAGCGCCTATTAGGTCACTGGGATCCTAATGCTGCTGCTTTAAATATCCAAAATGGCCATACCACTTGTAAATGTTCAAAATGGCTGCACCCTCCAAGCAGTGGAAAGTCCATAGCTCAGTTTGTCTCCTTCTTCGCTGTTTCTCTTTTTAGTAGTCAGCCACCAGTGCAGTTGTCCATGCAGCCCTTGGCGAACAGGGCTGATTTTTACGTTACTGGCCCAGGTCATAACACCACTTGTAAATATTCAAACTGGCCATGCCATGAGGGTAGCTGACAGTCCACAGCTCCATTTATCTCCTTATTCACTGTTTTCATTCAGGTTTTATTGTTGTTGTTGTTGTTGTTAAGTGCCGTCGAGTCGGCCCCGACTCATAGCGACCCCTCCTTGGGTTTCCGAGGCAGTATCACTACGGAAGTAGGATTGCCCAACCTTCCTTCTGAGGAGTGGCTGGTGGGTTTGAACCGCCAGCCTTCTGGTTAGCAGTCAAGTGCCTTAGGCACTATGCTACCAGAGCTCCCTCAGGTTTTATTAGTGGTTGGTATTTAACCCACTTTTGTATCCTTCCTTTTCAAAACTCAGGGATCCAGGATTATCTTCTGTCTGTGTCAACTGGTTTCTCTTTTCTTTGTTGAAGAAGGTCTGTGTGGCTTGTCTGTCTATTCTGCCATCTTCCCATCAAAAAATTTTGTGAAGATATGCAAGTACAGGATTTTCCCCTTTCTGCCCATACCCGGCTCTGCCGCCTCCAGCTCTGTGACCTTTGAAAGTTACTGCTCTCCTCTCTGCATCAGTGCTCCTGCCTGTAAACTGAGGATCTAAACACAATCTTCCTTGTGAGGTTGTTATGAGAATAAAATGACTTCAGGGATGAGAGCGCACTTGGTAGCATGGTTCCAGCCACTGTGATCCATAGTTTAGGCAGCATTTGAAGGGTCCCCAGGACACATTTGGAAGAGTGAGAGGTGCATGGGCTCTGCTGCCCTCATTTCCTCTCCTGTGTCAGACATTTGCCCAGCCATGGTCAAGCTGGACACAGTGTGCATGACTTCCTTATTATACAATATCCTGGGATGGTAGAAGTGCCTCACATTGGCCTGGTACAGAGGAAATATGATGTTCTTAGCCCTTAAAGACAGAAGCAAAGTCCCTTGATTTTCAGCCCTATGCATCCTGCAGAAGGAAATGACCCCTAAACCTTCTCACTTTCTTTTTGAGGTGCTGTGGTGGGGTACAAGATAGGGGCAGAGGATCTACTTAAAATTAAGCCTCAGGCTCTTCAACCCTTCTTGCTAAACAATGGTTTGGAATTGTTAGGTGCAGTCCAGTCAGCTTTGACTCATAGCAACCCTATATATAACAGAACAAAACACCGTGGGGTCCTGCACCAGCCTTACAATCCTTGCTATACCTGAGCCTATCACCGTAGCCATTGTGTCAATCCATCTCACTGAGGACCTTCCCCTTCTTCATTGATCTTCCACTTTACCAACCATGATATCCTTCTCCAGGGAATGGTCCATTCTGACAACATGACCAAAGTACGTGACATGAAGTGTGGCCATTCTCGCTTCCAAGGAGCATTCCAGCTGCACTTCTTCCAGGACAGATCTGTTAGTCCTTCTGGCAGTCCTTGGCACTTCCAGTATTTTTTGCCAACACCGTAGCTCAAAAGCATCAATTCTTCTTCAGTCTTCCTTATTCATTGTCCATCTTTCATATGCATATGAGGCTATTGAAAATACTATAGCTTGGGTTAGGTGCCCCTTAGTCTTCAAAGAGACATCTTTGCTCTTCAGCACTTTAAAGAAGTTTTTTTTGCAGATTTTCCCAGTGCAATATGCCATCTGATTTCTTGACTGCTGCTTCCATTGGTGTTGATATTGGAAATAAGTAATATGAAATATTTGACAACTTCAACCTTTTTTCCATTAATCATGATGCTGTTTATTGGTGCAGTTGTGAGGATTTTTGTTTTCTTTATGTTGAAGAACATCAATGTGTCGTCTGCATATTGCAGATTGTTAATGAGTCTTCCTCCAATCCTGATGCCACATTCTTCTTCATATAGTCCACCTTCTCATATTATTTACTTAGCATACAGATTGAATAAGTATGGTGAAAGGATATTACCCTGATGCACTTCCTTCCTGATTTTAAACCATGCAGTATCCCCTTGTTCTGTTTGAAAAACAGCCTCCTGATCTATGTACAGGTTTTTCATGAGCACAATTAAGTGTTTGGAGTTCCCATTCTTCACAATATTATCCATAATTTGTTATGATCCACACAGCTGAATGCTTTTGTGTAGTCAAAAAAGCACAAGTAAACATCTATTTGGTATTCTTTGCTTTCAGCCAAGATCCACCTGACATCAGTAATGATATCCCTCGTTCCACATTCTCTCCCAAATCCAGCTTGCATTTCTGGTAGTTCTCTGTCAATATACTGCTGCAACAATTTTCGAATTATCTTCAGCAAGATTTTTCTTGAATGTGATATCAATGATATAATTTGATAATTTCCACATTCTGTGGGATCACCTTTCTTTGGAATGGGTACAAATATGGTTCTCTTCCAGTCAGTTGGCCAGGTAGCTGTCTTCCAAATCTCTTGGCATCGACGAGTAAGTGCCTCCAGCACAGCATGCATTTCTTGAAAAATCTCAATGGGTATTCCACCAATTCCTGGGGCCTTGTTTTTCACCAATTCCTTCAGTGCAGGAATTGAGTTGAATTCAACAATTGAGTTGAATTCAACTCCTTCCTTCAATACTTCAATTCCTACAATTCTTGATCATATGCCACCTCCTGAAATAGATGAATATTAACCAATTCTTTTTTGTACAGTGAATCTGTGTATTCCTTCTATTTTCTCTTGATATTTCCTGCATAATTCAAATTTTGCCCATAAAATCTTTCAATATTACAACTCAAGGTTTGAAATTTTTTCTTCAGTTCTTTCAGCTTGAGCAATGCCAAGTGTGTTCTTCTCTTTTGATTTTTTAACTCCTGGTCTTTGCACATTTCTTTATAATAACTGACTTTGTGAGACACCTTCTAAATTCTTGAAGGGGAGAAGGGTAGAAGTCAATATTTAACCCACCCTTAGTCTAGGGAAGGAGTCCCTGGGTGGTGCGAGCAGATAATATGCTTGGTGCTAACTGAAAAGTTGGAGGTTCGAGTTCACCCAACGGTGTCTCAGAAGAAAGTCCTGGTGATGTACTTCTAAAAAATCAGGCTTTGAAAATTCTATGGAGCACAGTCCTACTCTGATACACATAGGATCACCATGAGTCAGAGTCAACACCACAGCAACTGTGTTTTTGGTTTGTTTCTTGGTTTAGGGATAGGGAAATGGGTAAAAATTGCTTCCCAGTGTTTTTATTTATTACCCTCCAGGAGCTGCAATGTGCTTGAAAGGATGTTATGTGTTCGTGTACATGTGTGTATGTATTTTGACAGATGCCATGGTCATGGATGAAAAGGTCAAGGAAAGCTTTGTGCTAGACACAGCTTCTGCCACCTGCAACTATGATGCTCACTATAAGGACTACCCCAAATACTGGTGCCGAGGCTATTTCCGGGACTACTGCAACATCATTGCCTTCACACCTAATAGCAATGGCCGTGTGGCCCTGAGGGACACGGGAAGCCAACTTATTATCACTGTGTCCTGCCTGACCAAGGAGGACACGGGCTGGTATTGGTGCGGCATCCAGAGGGACTTTGCCAGGGATGACATGGATTTTACAGAACTGGTTGTGACTGACAACAGAGGCGCCCTCACCAATGATTTTTGGTCTGATAAAGGTAAGGAGACCTTCAGGTGTCTAGTTGAGGGCAACCCATAGTGGTGGGTGTTTGTTAGTGGGGTAGATACTCACTGAAGCCAATGAATACCAACTCTGACCTCAAGGTTCCTTGGGGGAAACCAAGCTCTATCCCTACCTCCAAGGCAGCATGGTTGTTGATGGTGCTAGGGATTAACTTGGAGTTTGAGGATGAGAAAGTATAGGGGCCCATGGGAAGCTCTTGGAACTCCCTCCCATCTCAGTAGTCTCATTCCTGGAATTAGGATGATGTTCATGGGATCAAATAGGTGTGTAGTTTTTGATGGAAAAAATGAGCTGATGATCAGAGAAGGCTTTGTATTTGCTCTTAAATCTCTGTGCTCCATGGTTTAGTATCAGCTTTGAAGATCTAAATCTTAAAGATTAGTTTCTTGAGAACTAATTATGGTCCAAAAGGTGAACTAGGCACCAGAAAGAACACCCTAAAAAATTGTCCATTTACCATGGGGTACCAGAGGGGCAACATTCACACGGAGGTAATGCAGGACAAACAGGAGTGCATAACTATGAGGGGCATAGGGGGAGAGTTACTGGGCAGGCAGGGGAGGAGACTGGGTTAGGGTTGGGGATGGTAAATGGGGAGTGAAACTAAATGTACACGTAATGTTGAATGTAAAACAAACTCTTAAAATAAATAATAAACAAATATTGTCCATTTAAATAATTTAATAATTGACAGTGAGAAATACCATTGTCTAACTGATCCACACCCTCTTTTATTTTTAAGAAATGCAGTTTACAATAGGAGGTCTTGAAGGGTATGGATGGACCTGGAACCTATAGGGAGAAGTCTGTCCAAGCCAATCAGTCACAATTCTTGGCCAAGCTAAGACATAGGGTCTCCAGATACTCACTACATTTCTTTTTTTGATGGCTGAAATACTTCTTTTTATACCAGAAACTCTCTGCCTCTCAGACTGAAAGTTTTGGAAGGCACTAGCCTCTCTCTCTTTTTCTCCTATAGATTCTTATTGTTTCCCTTTCTAGAAAGGATGTCTTTTCTGTCATAGTCCAGATGAAAATGCCAATAGGGCAGACTTGGGAACACAAAGCAGGATTTCAGGGAGTTGATGGGAAGCCATTCTCTGTTAGAAAGAGAGCTTTTCTCACACTGGACCAACTGGTAACTCATTCATTCAGCAAGCATCTTTATTGGATGGGGAACATCCTTCACACCTAGTGTTTTTTACCTTGGTCTGGTTCCACATTTCCTTAATTTCATAGCTCATCCTGAGTTTTAGGTGCCCAATAAGAGAAGGCTCACCTAGATGCCTTCTTTAGGCTAAATGAAGCACAGACCTCTTCTGGGTCTTATCAGAGAAGCACTGTGGGTGGCCACGGTGGGACTTCTCTCACTGGGTTTGGATGGCTGTCAGAAGGATGTTGTGACAATTACATCACTTACTGATTGTTCCTGAAGGACAGGGACTGGTCTTCTGATACCACTAGTGTCCTTGCCCATGGTCCCCAGCCTGGGACTCTCCAACCACAGATTTTTTCTAGTTCATACAGTGCCTTTGTGCAAATGTGGGGAATGCGCTTCTTCCTCCAGGTGCACAGAGTCCAATCCCAGGGTGCATGGCTTGGCAAATAGAGCGTGGAATGGATTGCCACTGCTACTAGTCCCCTACAGGAGTCCCTGGGTGTTGCAAACAGTTAATGCCCTTGCTGCCAACTGAAAGGATGGAGGATTGAGTCAACCCAGAGACACCTCAGAAGAAAGCCTTGGCATCAACTTCTGAAAAATCAGCCCTTGAAAACTCTATGGAGCACAGTTCTACTCTGACACACATGGACTTGGAGTCAGAATCAACTTGACAACAACTGGTTATTTGTGCCCTATGCAGGGCACAATCATACACCTGGACTTGATACCTCTGCTCTGCCTGGAAGTCAAGCAGGGCACTCACTCTCTAGGGATTGAGAGAATGTCAGGCAGAGATACAGCTGGGAGGCAAAAGAAGGGTCTAGGTGTGGGCTTTGCTTGACTCTCAACAAATCCTTTCTGATTCAGGCCTTCCAGGCAACAAGAATAGAAGCTGCAGGGCTTCCAAAGTTATCCAGAAGGCAGATAACTCCAGGTGAGCTCTAACTTTAGGAGATAAATGGCACAGATGGTGGTGAGGGTAGGAGTGGGAGACAACAACATGAATAATAATTGATTTACAATCTATTACTTTTCAGCTATATATTGTTTCTTGACCTGAATTATATATCCTCAATGTGGTTATTTGGTTTCTCTTAAACAAGTATGGGGAGCTCTGGTAACGTAGTGCCTAAGGTACTTGATTGCTAACCAGAAGACTGACAGTTCAAACCCACCAGCCACTCCTCAGAAGGAAGACGGCTACTCTGAGACCCAAGGAGGGGTCGCTGTGGGTCACAATCAACTCCACAGCAGTAAATTTGGTTTTTGTTTTGGAAACAAGTATGATTTGAAACTCTTGCATGCAAGCAGCAAAAATGCCCTCTAGCTAGTTTAATTAAAAAGGGCAAATCATCTTGAGGAGAAAGCAGTGTCTCATGAAATGCATGGGCAAGAATGTGACCATCCTCAGAAATGGTCAGAAGTGTCATCAGGATTTTATTTCCATCTCTAATTTGCTATTACATGTGTTTGTTTCATTTGCTCTTTAAACTGCCCTTTTTTGCTTTTTGCCATGGGAGAAGATATCCATTCATAGTTTATGAGTTTATTTCTCCCACATTCAATAGACTCACCAGTCTGAGACGGGATTCTCCTACTCCCTGACGCAAATTAATTCCTAAGGAAGGGGCTTGTTGGCCCAGCTTGATCAGGGGGTTCTCTCCAGGTCCAATCAAGTGTGGTCCATGGCATAGGGTCACTGAATAAGAATATAGCTGTCAAGAGCTACTGTAACTGGGTGGCAAGAACAGATTCCAGACCGGGGGTCCTGAGCAGAGAACCAGAGGTGTTTTTCTCTAAGAGACATGAAATCTGTCTGTGATTCCTTCCAGGATGTCCATTCTCATCATCTGCATACTGATCACGGGCTTAGGGATCATCTCTATAATCAGCCATTTGTACAAAAGAAGGAGAAGTCAAAGGAATAGGAGGGGTAAGTAGTAGTTTTGGGGCAGGAATTAGTGAAAACTAAAGGGGTCAAGGAGTAGCTTTCAAAAAAGTGAACATGAGCCCCTTCTTCTTCCACTGACTAGACACATGGAGACCAATGTAGTCAGTCCAAGGGCTGGGGAATACATCTGCTTTATGGTGACAAAGCCATCCTTAGTGATGACGGAAGGGCTTTGTAGTTTCCTTCAGTGGAGGTGTGTGTAGATCAGGGAAGAAGGAGGCCCTGAGATAGCCACACCCAATACCTGGAGAGCTGCATGCCTCCCCAGCACAGAGACTTTGGGAGGCAGCCTTACTCTTTGACCGAAAGAAACTTTCATCTGAAAGGGTTAGGAGCCTAGGTCCCTGTAGAAAGGTCTCCTAAGTCCAGTCAGAAGTGGAAGAGGCCAGGCCCAAGGACCTCACCTCTAGTCTTGAGACAAGGGATAGACACTTCATCTTTGTGTCTCCTTTTGCCCTTGGGTGATTACAGGTAAAAGCCTAACTAGAAGCTCGAAAAACAACCAATCTTCTTTTGCAATTCCCACACCCTTGGTAAGTTTCCTCTTTGGTGATTATTTTTTTTTCCCCCTGAGCCCTGTGGCCCACAGCCCCATTCCTAAGTAGAAAATAGGCAGTATTTTCAGAGTAACTATCCACACAGTTGTCTCCTTCTCCCTTTGGGGCAGCAGCAGGGTCACAGGGGCTGGTCTCTTTGTCCATCAGATCATCTAGGCCACCATGTGGTGATTCTGCTAACTACTGAAGGACAGAGAGCAGAAGCCAGACACAGGCCATTATTGAGCCTGTAGGGTTTTTTTTTTTTTTTCCTTTTTGTTTTTCCTTCTTATTATTTTTGCTGTTTTGAAAAATATGCTCACAAACCACAAAACACCTTGGGGCAGTGAGAGACTGGAGGCACAATTACAAATCAGACTCCAACCTCCTCTGGAGATGGAAATGGAGAAAAACCATATTTCAGAGAAAGCACAAAACCACCACCACCAGTAAGTAAGGTGCAAAGGCTTATATAGTCAGAAGAATTTGAAATCTAAATCCTGGACTGTGAGGTCTGGTACTTTTCCATGTGATATTGTTTGCCCCATTGGCCAGAGCAGGAGCCCTAAGAAATCATTGGCTCCCATAGAATTCCTTGCTTTTTGCCCTTTAGGTCCTTTGGAACTGTGGACACAGTAAGCTTTTTCTCAGTTTGCCCAAAACCACTCCCTGTGGGACACAATTATAGTCTAGATTTTTGAAAACACCTTTGTCATTTCTTTAAGACATGACCAGGGACAAGTTTCTACTTCTCTGGGCTTGTTTTCTTCTCTTCAAAATGAGGACCTCATTTTCACACTCCCCAGGAATTTTCATTCATTTATTCAATCGACAAATAATGGCTGTGCTAGACGTTGCAGATACAAAGATGAGAAAAGAAACAGTATCTGCCTTCCCGGAGCTTATCATGTAGTACGGGAGAAAGACAAACTATCATACAAATGTAAAACTGTCAGCTGAATAAGTACTCCAAAAGAGAGACACATAGTGCTATGAACGTTGAGGCAATGGAACCCAACCATATTCCTTCTTAGCAAGGAGTTATACAACTGTTTTAGCCATGGGCTGATTCCTTGCTCTCAGGCAACCAAAACGTGGCAGCCTGAATCAATAATTCGGTCCCTTCCAACTTTGACATTCCTGGGTTCTGAATGAGTAGTCGTGTTCATAGCACAAAAGGTTGGGAGAGGTGAATGCAAGCCCAGGGCGCTAAACTTTCCTATTAAGCTTTGCAATAATGACACCTGATTTCAGCCCTGAAAATAAACTTGGGTATTTAGTCCCCACAAAGCCCTCATGACAGAGTTTGCAACTTTTGCTGTAGAAACACTAAGCAAAGGTAGACAGACACTCGATCTCACCTCAATCGTCCTTTTCTATTCCTCAACAAAGTAGACGACTCTTTGAAGCTCTTCTCGTGTGTCCTGACTCCAGAGGAAATGGCTCACACTGAACAGATGTGACTGAAGGTTCTTTTTATTTAGTTCATAAATAAAATGATGCTACAAAAGAATTGCCATAACAACTGGTGCACATCTTAGGACTGATTCTAATCTCGCAGGTTTCTGAAGGTTCTCTGCAACCTTGCTGGCGGTGATTTGCAGTTAATAAGAACCATGTTAGCCAGAGCAGCTATGATGGCTACAATCAGATAGGATCCCAAGATCTTAGTTCTCATGCATTTAATTAGCTAAAAGCAAGGAAGAGATGCTGAATCTGGGTCAGGGGACCACAGATCACTTGCATTTATTTGCTAGGCAATAAATTCCTGGCCATTGTTGAATGAACTCCAAGGTATGATGAACTTCTCCTAGGATAGCTCATGGGAAAAGTATTTCTGGAAAAGATTCTTTAAAAGTATAGTATTCCAACCCAGTTATAAATTGATATCAAGTGCTGTCCTACCCAAAGAAATGAAGATAGGTTAAAACAGTGGTTCTCAGGCTGTCTTGGTGAAGAGACTATAGACCATTCATCATATCCTTTATGGGAAAATGCCACCAGACTGAATGGAGGCTGATTTGATCTATGAGGAACCAAGGAGTGAATGATAACTTGAGATATTTTTGCAAATCTGGAAACAGAAATCAAGATAGAGACATTCACAGACTTTGGGTGCAAGCGAGAGTCTGTTATCATTACTGCCATTAATGACCGTAGCTCTTAGCCTCCACCTACATGTTTGCACCCTTTCTGCCCATGCAGTGTTTCTCCTGATATTTCTGGGAGTTCCCACTACTGTCTCTGCTGCCCTCATAAGAACATGATCTTCTAAGTGCCATGGTCTCTTCTAATGTGATGATGGCTAGCCTCAGCCCTCAGAATATTCAAGGAGCGCTGTGGTCTGAAGGAAGGCTTTGACAGGGAGATTGGCTGTGGACACACTCTGCACGGACTCCACATGCTTAGCTCTAGAATCTCATGAAGCCTTTCATGAACACAGTCCCTTCAGCTTCCACTATAACCCTTTCTCCATAGGTAGGGACTCTATGCTACTCAGCAGCCTGATAGGAAGGAATATGGATGGGGATAACATTCCATTCCTCCCATCCTCATGTTTCCATACTGCCCCCTTTCAGAGTAGCAGATCAAACAACATTAAAACTGCTCTCTTTCCCCTCAGCCACAAAACAACCCCCAACCCCTCCCTTGTAGCCATGTAATGAATGCATATAAGGGGTCACTAGCTGACCATTTCTGTAAATAGAAATCCAATTCAGTCTGTTAGGATATCCTACTACACAAGGCAAGATGGCAGACATCAATCTTACACAACAGAAGGAGACATCTATAGATGTCGTAGAAGATTTACACTCACCCTGAGGCAATTGTTTCTCCTGCAAATCCTCCAGGTTTGTTCTGATTCCATGATCCAGGGTTCAAGAACCCATTTTTATCCCCTTTACAAAGATCTTTTGAATCTGTGGTCAATTATTTAGTTACTTACATTGCTCCAGCTAGTGGCTAAGGCACTTGACTGCGAACCAGAAGGCTGGCGGTTCAAACCCACCAGCCACTCCTTGGAAGGAAGATGGGGTAATCTACTTCCGTAGTGATACTGCCTCAGAAACCCAAAGAGGGGTCACTATGAGTCAGGTCTGACTTGATGGTGGCACATAACAACAACAACAACAGGCTGGTTGCATATCAGTTCTCATGATAGGCAAGCTAAAAGCTAGACTTCACCTAGGGCTGTGTTGTTAAGAACAAGAAGGTTCAAGAACACAAAGGGAAGAGCAATTAAGTTGATATTTCATTTACAAATGGATGACTCTAGGACAATGCTTAATCCTACCCTTTCTATGTCAATAAAGCCTGGCTCTGGACTGGAAAGCTGACATGGCTTCTAACTTCAGGGTTGGTAGAATTGTTTGAAGTCAGCCCAGAGCTTGGGAACAGTGCAAACCCATAAAGACCTCCCTCTGTGCTTCCTATAGTCAACTAATGGGAGAAGACCATGATTCTCTGCTGTCCACATTTCCTTAAACTCTGCTTTCTCCTAGGCCTGTTTTGCCCACAGAAGGCATACTCCTTTATCAAACCCTGAGTCCACAGTCTTCTCCCTCAAAAGCAGCTGCCAGGAGCAGCTACTCTCTCTTCAGAATGATCATGCTCTCTTGATCTTGTCACCTGACTTTCCTGGTCTCCCTGCCACCACTTGTTATGTACCGCTAAGTCAATCCCAACTCACAGTGACCCTGTAGAACAGAGTAGAACTACCCCATAGGGTTTCCAAGGCTGTAAATTTCACAGAAGCAGATGGCCACATCTTTCCTTAATAGAGCAGCTAGTGGGTTCAAACCACAGACTTCATGGTTAGCAGTCAAACTTAACCAGTGCACCACAAAGGTTCACTCTTACTGTTACTTACCAGCAGATTATTTTCTGTTTTTGCCTCCATTTCCATATCTATAAGATGATAATTATAATCATTGTAACTCACCATGTTTTGTGAGGATTTACTGCAGTAACACATGCCAAGCACTTAGAATGTGCCTAGATTTTAATAAGCCTCAATACTTGCTATGTGAAACTTTGGTGTGGAACCAAGACACGAGGAATTTGAAGTCGGAGAACTCAACTTAAGTTTTGGTTCTAGCTAGCTGAGTGATGTTGGATAAATTATTTCATCTCCTTGAACTTCAGTTTCCTTGCCTTAATTTTTTTTGTAACTTTTTATTGTGATTTCTGTGAAAGTTTACAAAACAAATTGGTTTTCCATTCAACCATTTATTCACGTTTGGTTTTGTGGCAGTGACTGCAATCCCCACAGTGTAACTCTTCCTGGGTTTCTTCCTGGGTAACTCTTTCTGGGTTTCTCGTTTCCATTATTTGGCGGAAAGGTGTAGTTCAGTTCTATGCTTGAAGTGTGGCTAAAGGCCATAGTCTCAAGGGTTCCACCAGTCTCTATCATACTAGTAATCCTGGTCTTTTGTATGATTTTGAGTTTTGTTCCTTGTCTTAATTTTGTAAAATATTATTTACTGTATTTTTAAAAGAGATTTGCCAAAGCGGCTTCTCTCCTTATTCCTTTCCTATGGACGGAGCTCTGTTAGGATTGCACACTGCAATGGCTCCCTGTGAGAGGGAGTCATCTGTCAGATATGTGAGTCTGGGAGTAGGAACCAGATATACATAATCTGCCTCTTCCTCTTCCTGTTTTTCTCTGTTGGGTATGAACATTTTTCAACAAGCATGTGATCTCTTCTGTAACTTTGGGGGGCAGGCTGAGCCACTGTGGGTGGTCCTGGGGCTTTCCCTGGTCCAGCTCTGTCAACTATGGGATTCAATATTCCAAAGCCCACTCTCTGCAGCTGCACAAGCCATATTCTCCAGTGTCAACTATATTAATAATAAAGATGATATTTTGGTCTGATGAGCACTTTGTCTTCTTTCTCCATTGATTCAGAATTCAGATGGGGAACAGGAGCCCTGCTGAAGATCCCCACTATGGTAAATGAACAACTTCAAGAGATACAAAAAGATTTTTAAGGGAAGCACCCTTCCTTCCCATCCTTGTCCCTCAGTAACCAAGTTCTTCTTCCAGGGCAATCACCATGACCAGTTTACTTGTATTTTCTTCCAGAAATATAGTAACTATAGACAAGAATGTTTATATATACTCTACATGATTGGAGAAAATTCAAAATTCTTTTCATCAGCTTGCAAGTGCACTTTGCATTTAGCAATACACTTTGGAGGTTTTTCCTTATTAGAACCTACAGAGGACTGCCTCGTTCTTTCAACCACTTGCATTAGACTCCATTCACCAGTCCCTGCTCAATAAGCTTTTTTTTTTTTTTAATCTTTCACTGTTACAGAGAGTTGAACCTAGTGGGTAAGTACAAACTCTGGAACCAGCCTATCTGGGTTTGAGTTCCAGTGCCACTATTTACCAGCAATGTGAACTTGGGCAAGTTATTGAACCTGTCTGTGCCTCCATGCTCATACCTATAAAATGACAATAATAATAATTGTAACCTCATAGTGTTGTATGCTCTGGTGGCATAGTGCCTAAGGCATTTGACTGCCAACCAGAAGGCTGATGGTTCAAACCCACCAGTCATTCCTTGGAAGGAAGACTGGGCAATCTACTTCTGTAGAGATACTACCTCAGAAACCCAAGGAGGGGTCGCTATGAGTCAGAACTGACTTGACGGCAGTAAGTTTGGTTTTTTTGTTGAGTGTTGTGTGAGGATTTAATGCACTAATATGTACCAAGCACTTAGAATAATGCCTAGATTATAATATGCTCCAGTAAGTGCTATCTAATTTGATTAATGCTGCAATTAAAATTACTTAGGTGATTGTCCACATATTTAGGTAAAATAAATTCTTAAAAATAGAATTTAAAGTGTTGTTAGTGATTGCCAAATTGCTTTCCACATTGTTTGTAACAACTTACTCTCTCCAACAGTGTGTGTATGTCTTGGTTCCCCACAACCCACACAGTTTGTTAACAAACTCTTTGAATTTTTCTGATCTTATTGATAGTGATGAAAACATATTATCAAACCCACCAGCCACTCCTCGGAAGGAAGGTTGGGCAATACTACTTCCGTAGTGATACTGCCTCGGAAACCCAAGGAGGGGTCGCTATGAGTCGGGGGCGACTCGACGGCAAATAACAGCAACAACACAATTGTCATTCTAATTAATATTTCTCTTATTAAGAGCAAAGTTAGGTATCTTTTTATGTTTAAGAATCATTTGTATTTGTCAATTCCTTCAGTGCAGCTTTGACTTCTTCCTTCAATATCATTGGTTCTTGATCATATGCCACCTCCTGAAATGGATGAACATCAACCAATTGTTTTTGGTACAGTGACTCTGTGTACTCCTTCCATCTACTTTTGATGTTTCCTGCATCATTGAATATTTGCCCATAGAATCTTTCAATATTGCAACTCTAGGCTTAATTTTTTTCTTCAGTCCATTCAGCTTGAGAAACACAAGTATGTTC